GGGAGGAGCATGCCATTGATAAACTCATCTCAAAACTTGCCAAATTTTCCATTACTGGGAAGACAAGGCTAAATTCTATGACCTGATACCATTTTTTTTTACATAACCTCTCACCAATACTCTCAGCCTAAACACAAAATAGCCTCAAATCTTACTCAGCTAAACCCCTCCAATTATACAAGGCTTTCAAGCACTTGTAAATTCCTCTGAGGTTTTCAGTTCTCTTGGAGAAGGTGAAACACTGAGGGAAACTCCAGGTTCCAGCAGCAGTGTGGGCTTGCACAGCTCCCATCCATCCCTTTCTTGGTGCTACTTCCTCCCTCAACTTCTCCCCATCCCAGCTGACACTGAACTGAGAGAGGACAGCACAACCAAAACCAAGGAATCTTCCAAAATGCAGACACTGAGGTCTGACTTTGAAGAATGCTGTGAAAATACCAATGGAGAGAACAGTTGAGATTTCAGGGCTGTCGGGTTTTTTTGGAAACATCCAAGAAACTCTTCCAAGGTCACTGTCAGATAAACAAGAATAATAAATTACATGCAGCTTTAGCTGGGGAATCTGTTTCAGTCCTATTATTATCATCTTTTTCAGTTACTTTTATTAGGTTTTGTTGACATTTAACAATGCAGAATGCCTAAGAACCAAGCATCCCCTTCCCATTCAATCACACCTCAAATTAGATAATCTGTGAACAAAGTGATTAAAATGACAAGGAAACTTTTTGGAGATCAAAGTTTTCTAAAAGAAAACCTAACAAAGATAAAGACGTAGGGATCAAAACTTCTTCACTAGAGACTATCAAAACCAGGGCTGACAAATTCCTGGCAAAGGCACTATAATGAAAGTTCTGTAGGAAAAGCAAATGGCTTTGAGGAAACCAGGCACAGTTTCCCACTCTGCTGAGCAGTGAATGAACCCATTCAGCCCCTACACCCCCTGACTGCTCACATCTGCACAGGGCTGCTCTCCAACACAAGAAATACTGTTCAAAGGGGCCAGTCTTTCCAATATTAACTGGATTATACAGTACAGTCTTTGCAAAACACCATTAGGCTTTGGAAGTGGATTTTTATTTCATAGGCATTAAATCATAAACTCATAAAAGTCTCTCCTTCTCCCATTTCATTAACACAGACATTCTCTGCCATTTTGGCTCACCAGAGTATCAACAGCTACGAGCCGTGACAGAGCTACCAGAGTGTGAGACTGAGGCAGAGGTGATACTGCATTGACCAAATACTTTTAAGGTACAGTCAAATTCTCAAGAGTTAAAGCAAGCAACAGTGAGGATTTTGAATTGTGCAAGCAGGCAAAGAGGGACTGAAAGCAGAAAGTTGATTTCTCCAGCAATTCAGCCACAGCAAAGTAGCTTCTCAGGCAGCACTTATGAATCTGGACACATCTCTGGGAAGTTGGATTACAACACTTGAACGTTTCCGGAGAAAAGTCAGTGCTGTTCATCCCTCATCATAACACTAACATGTCCTGGATCATCTGTAAGCACTTCATCCCTGCACACAGCTCATTTACATGCTCTTGGCTTTTTCCAGAAGTGCTCCAGGAAGCATTTCAATACACAGCACCTCCCAGGACCAAGTAGTTCTTGAAAACTACTTGAAATTACAAACGGAGTAGGGATCCTTTGACCTCTCAGGGTACACTTGAACAGGAATTATCTGATGATTAAATTCTCCCATTGCCTAAAAACGGCTGGCAGTCTTAATTGAAAAAAAACCAGAACATACACTTCTGAAACTGCAAATAGAACTGGCACTGATTTGTGCCTTTATTGGCGATTTCTTTGGAGAGGCCAACGAACAACTTTGAGAAAGAAACATCACTTGAGAAGGAAATGTCTCCTAGACATTTATCCAAGTCACATTTGAGGCACAATGGCAGAGCAATGGGGGTAAAGAATGGGAATCAGGATGGATTTACAAGATCATGCCCAAGAGACTTCCATTCCATTAGACTGAGAATTTTACTCTCCATGCTCATCAATCAAGACATTGTATTTCCATTTGCATAAACCCTTCCAGGATTTATTTCTTGTCTCTTCACAGCTTTAAATGCAAGATCAAATTTTACAGTAGAGGAGTTGCAGATGTGACAATTCATAATCTTGTGAAACACAACATTTGCCACCTTGCTCGAAAACGGCTCCGCTACATCTCACTTGTGAGCCTCTGAAACTGCGCGTAAGTTGAAATCCCATCCAGTCTAATTAGCAGAGAAGTTTCATAGCCTCACAGTCCCAACTAACTTATCTTTCTGAAGATTCTAATCTCAAAAATATGGTTATATATCGCCGCCTACCTCCAAAAGCCCGCCACTATGTCTGTGTGCGCAGGCGCCGGCAGCGCTTGGTCAGGACACACTGCTCACCCTCCACCAGAACCTGAGCCCTGGCACTGCTGCCAAGCTCCTCCATGGCACGCTGGGCTGGGCCCCAGAACTCCATGCCTCTGCTGGAAGTCTTTTTCTGAACTTGGAATGTGGTGACTGCGCCATCTGATAATCAGAATCTGCTCTAAGTTAGTAATTATGATCAATAATTCAAGTTTTGCATATTAGTGTAAGCCAGTTTTTGTAAAAAGAGAAAAACAGTCGGTTTTCACGAGCCTTATCAAAAGATGACTTGCTAGACACTCCAAGGCTTTTTCATTTCTTTTTGGTTGTCAAATGCAAAGTGTAAAATTGAAGAGGAGTGCCAAGCAGAAGGTTGCGCATGGTACATGGCGACTGCACAAAATCCACAAATTTAGGGTTGAGCACAGAAGCAGGGAAAAAATGAAATCTCATAGCAAAGGGAATGGAAAGTACCACATGTAGGTAAAATTAGCATTAAAACTACTAAGGAGATGAAGCCAACTTTGGTTGGCTGGCAGGCAGTGCCACTACCAGGAGGATCAGAACTTGCTGAGGGCCATATGACTGACTGCACACCAAGATCTAACTGAAAAGAAAATCTAACTCAAACTGAGTCAAAGACTTAAACACCTTGATGACGCACATGGAAACATCCCAAAAGGCAAAACACCCCCAAGTTCTAAGCAGTAACTAGCAACACAGAACATTTCAGAACATATGAGTACAGAAGTTCCCAATAATTATTCTCATATATTCTGTATTCTTTCCTTGTACAATATGTAGAGATTCTGTAGATAGGATGTACAGCTAGAATACAGTCTGTGTCTGTTTACAGTAATTCCATCCTCAGCTCTCTCTCCAACAGCCCTGGCTCCTTTTGGCCCCTGTCCCTTGGCTCCTCAGGGCCATTGTTCAGCTCCCAGCTCAGCTGCAGCAAAACAGCTCTTAAATGCTCTGTAGAAATGGTAGCACTTTAATGCCAGTGCTCAGCATAGCAACCAGTCGCTCTAAATAAATAAATAATGAAGCCTGGTATTCCAACAGATAATATAAATACACCTTCAGCAAATTTCTTGGGTCCAAAGGTCAATCAACTTGTTTGCTCTGACTCCCAGAATGTGTAAATCTCAACATGATGTTTAAACACAAACACAGACAAACATCAAAGTTCAATGCTGACATATTTTACACCTCAGAGTTACATGCCAGAATAGCTCTGTACCACACAGAGAAAACTGTAATGCATGTGTAAGGAAGTGATAAAACCCTATCCTGAACTAAATCCAAATGTTTTTCTTTAAATAGCCTCTCATTCTGTATTTTTCCTCTTCTTTCTTCTCTATTTCTTCTCATTCATTCTCTCACACAGAGAAGTATTTATGCAGCTAATTTCACCAGTCCTCCCCTTAATTACCAATAAAAGGGGGGATGAAACTTTCCATCCTGAGACTCATTTCAGGGTTTGTGTGTTTCTGCATCCCTGACTGATTCACACATAGGAACATACCTGTATTTACAGAACCACAACATTTCAAGGCAAACCACCAGTTCCTGGGCGAGAGCATGGACCCACCAGCTACACTGGCACTTCTGGGCTGCTGTGCAGAGCAGCCACTCTCAGCCTCTCTCCTCAAGGAAATGTGCAAATAATCCCACAGCTTCCACTCAAGCTGTGCTCTTCTTGCCGGCTTCTCATTCATTTTCCCCTTGAACAGCTCTGGGCTGTCCAAAAATGAAACACAAGGGACTTCAGGAAGCACAAGGAATCAATTTCACGAATGGAAACCCAGCAGGGTGAAAGGGAACCCAGTGTCCCAGAGCCACCTGCCCCTCTCCTCTGGGGTGATATGACCTGATAGAGGAGCACTCACTGTACATGATCCATCCCCATGTCTCTCTCATTTGGGGTGATATCCTGATAGAGTAGGGCTCACTGTGCATGATCCCTCTCATTTGGGGTGATATCCTGA